ATATTTTTTTAATGAGATAATTATTTCGTATTTTAATGAACCTGCATAAAATATGATTATATTCATCATCAGGATTTTTTAGTTTATATATAGATGGTGATACTTTGTCATCAAGAATATACCAATTTTCTAATAATTTAAAATCTAAAAATAAAATATTTATAAATTATTTTATTCTATATGATTATTTTTCATCAAACATCAAACCTTTTCCTAAATCGATTGCAAGATTTTTAATATTATTAAAATCGGTTGTAGATAGTTCAACTGGTAGAACAAGATTGCCATATTTATTTCCAACAAATGTCTAAACAAAAAAAATAAAATACGAAATAATTATCTCATTAAAAAAATATATTTTTAACTCTTAAAATAATGACAAATATAGAATATTTGTCTTTTTTTGGAAAATTAATTATAAGCTTTAGCCTAGGTATTCATCCAATCTATTAATTGTACAAAGTGTGAGAGTTTTCATTTACATAATGAAAGAGATACTTGTCTCTTTTTTCACAGATATAATTACTTGTAAACATTTTATCCTTATTTGAAAAATATTTGTCAACTAAAATTTCAACTGTCGTCACAAAGTACTTCGTAGTGAAAAAACTAACCAAGTATTGCAATTATGAAGAAGTACTTGTAAAAGTGCATGGAAATAAGTATATTTTGAAAATATGTGCCAATTTTTTTCTAAATACTTCTTATTAAGCAAGCAATCAAGTGCATTTACGAGAGTATCGTATATGACTAAAATAGAGCAAAAACTCGAAAATATACCAACATGTAGAACAAAATTAAATTCATGCAGAGTTGGAGAAAAGTGCTTTTTCCTCTTCAGCACACGCGATAATCCCGAAGATTTTCTATTTTTGACACGTGATATTGTCATGTGTTGTTAGGTAGATTTTTTGAACAAAATGGCGAAAAATAATTTTTATGGTAAAACAATATTAGTTTCAAAATTTTCTTGAACACATTGATACCAACTCAGTATCAATGATGCTAACCGATGCCATTTTTGATTCTTATAGCCAATACCGCATTGAAATATCGCACTAATTTTGATCATTGTCACATTGAAACTTATTTAGTCAGTAATTATTTCTTATTATGGCTACTTTTACTTAATTTTGCACTAATTAGAGTGTGGCACTGACTGATATCAGTACCACATTATCCTGTCAAAATCATGCGACACACTATAGCAGCACTTCTCTTATCAGAAGGAAAAGGTGAAGTTTGAAAGACATTTGAAAAGGATACTGTGATGTTTATACAGACAGAAGTTGATAAAACACAACGATGATTGAAAAAACTAAAGTTTGGTTACGATGTATGATGCCAAAAGTTTTTAAATCTTTGCATCGATGCGCATACATATCAAAATCATGGCAGTAAAAATTTATTTTTGTAGGCATGTCAAGCTAAAGATTTCCCGTGTTAAAGTAGCCATGTATTGATTTAGTCATGAAAAAAGTGTTATGTATAATGTTATGTTATAAACACACATTTTACTGGGAATTTTGACAAAACAATAGATCATAATTAAGACATTTTTTTTTTTTGACATTAAATGACTTAAAAAATTTTATATAATCTACTAAACTACTACAAAACTGAACTACTAATCCTGAACTGTGCATAAACGTTCATTTATTTTTTCCGTTGATATATATGTTCCTTTTTTTTGGTTAAAAGTTTACTGATTTATCAACCTAATATTTGACTATATAAAGTGTAAAAAAAAAGAAAAAATATCATCAAACATTGAACATGTTCAAGGACAAAATAAATCATCTCTAAACAGTAGTATGCGAATTGCTTTTTTCCTATGCCAGAGGGCAATTTGTCAGAAAAAATGTCATCAATCTTTAGTATGCATACTATGCAGGCTTTCTTATGGCATGGGTTTGATCAGTCAGTCACTCTACAGATTAATTTTTTCGAGCATAATAATATTATGCCTATCACTTAATTTGCTATTTTGAGTTCTTAATGCTTCTTTTTTTTTTCGTTGAAAAGAATTATTGATATGGAAAATTGTTCGAATATTCTCTTTTGATTGAGCAACATACATAATAATCAGAAGGTATGAAAAAACGGATGTAGGCGGTGACGAAAGAAATATACATTTGTTAGTGGATGAATAAATTCTAGAAGAAAAAAAAAAAACATATTTTCTATACTTTTAGCTTTCTCTTAACTATCACAATATTTTGCTCATTAGTATAAAGACTAAAAATTTATTGTCAATATTTTCTTTGTTTCCGCCTTGTTATCTAATAGTCATTAAAGAAGAAAATAAAAATTGTACATACTAGTAAAAATAGACCAGATGATGTATGATAACAATCTTGTATTTCTTTCATTAATCTTAATACATGATAAGGATTTTGAGCAAAATCAAAATGCCAATTTAGATTTATATCATTAAATAGAACATAGAGTCCTTGTGCTAAAAAATATTGTTGAAGTTTTGGTAATGTTTCTGTTAAAAGCATATGTCGTTCATCGTCAAATTCTAGAATTAAATAAAAATAACAAATTAATTATAAAATAGTAAAAATAATATTTGAATGTAATGATGAGACAAAAATTATCTTCATTTGTCCTCTATTCAAAACAACAACAACAATAAACATCTTAAATAGATTTTATGACGTCATAAGAAAAACAATTTTTTATCTGTAGATGAAAGAATAATAATAACACTTTTTTTTTTTATTTTTTCTATTAGAACTGCCATATGACGCAGAACGACACAATTTAATTTCCAGAAATGAACGTTAATTCCGTTCTATTTACAGCTTAAAAATATTTTCATTTCCGCAGTAGATGTATACAGTTTTTTGGATTTTTTTTAATAATAAATCAACAAAAAACCTTTCTTCAACTCTAAGCTTAAAAATAAGAAGAAATTGATATACATTAGTTGACTTTATTCTATATATAATACATAGACATACCATCTTTATTGCAAATAAGTAGAATTTTAATTTGTGCCCATGGATATTTTGGTAAATTATAGCCACTACCAACTTTGCCTTGAATAACATTTGAAAATGTATCAGATGGATTTGTACCAGAAACCATCGTTATTTTGTTTATTTTTATTCACACAATCATTTGAATATTCATTATTATTTCATATAAATATTTTTTAAATCATTTGATTATGGTATTTCGAATAGCATTTTGTTGATTAAAAGTTCATATTTTTAACAAATATAAATAATATATGAATAATACGAAATATGGGTCGTAGATGAATCTAGAAGAAAGAAAACAATCGTCATGCAATATCGATAATGGCAGTAGTCAATCATTGATCTCATTGTAAAAATAGATGATTAGTTTTTGTTTTTTTAAAATCATTGTCAAAAAGAAAAAATTTTAGATATCATTTTTAGATATATTTAATATAGTACTAGGATAATTGATTATGATATTGGCAATTCTATTCTACATAAAACTTTGTCAAAAAATTAAAGCAGAATCTTTCTTTTCTCAACTAAATATTTCTGAAGTATTTTCGAAAAGAAACAAAAGAGTTTCATTAGAGTAAAAAAGTTAGAATTTTTTTTCTATTTAATCTTTCTCTCTCTATTACATGTTCAAAAAAAGGTAAAAGACTGTGTGTGGGTGTGTGTGTGCTTATCCGGACTTTGAAGGATCTTTAATGAAAAAAAATAAATACACTCTAAATATTCTAATGAAAAATGTATGCATCACAATTGTCTAAAATCCGAAAATTTTCTTCCTTAAAAACAAAACAAAAGTGGATTAACCAATAACATTTCCATTAGATTTTTATTTCATTTTAATATACTACTTTTCTCTTTCTCATTTGACTTATGTCGTTGAATCTCTTTGATTAATGTCTCTAAATTTTATACGAAAGAGAATACTGTAGAACGACATTTTATAGATGATAAAAAGCAGATCACTCAATAACGACAGGATATGTCACTTATGTATAAATAAATATTCTTTTCTTCTTTTATATTAAATAGATTTCACACATTTTAACATAAATCGAAAACAATGTGTTTTTCAAATAGATAGTGAATGTCAAGATTTTTTTAAAGATTTTTAGTTAAAAATTTATCTTAAAAAAAAGTCACTCTTAATTATGATACTAATGCTCTCTGATTTAAAATTTTTTTAAATTGCCATCTATATTAATATATATGCGTATATCTATCTTTATCTGTTGTCATCTATTTTTTTTTTCAGTTGCAACACTATAAGATGACGATGAGTTTTTTTATTGTGACGTATAATGAATGACAGAAACACATCATATTTCATAAATCAAACGCCGTGAGAGAATATTTTTAGACAGAGAAAAGACGGTCATATATATATATATATATACAATAAAAAAACAAAAAAAAATGAAGAAAATAGAGCGAACATACATTGAAAATAATTTTTTTATAGAATCCATTTAAAAATTAAATAATTAACTTCGACATTCAAAAATTAATCTTTTTAATAAAAAAAAATAGAAAATTGTAATATGTAAAAATGATAAGGATAATCATAAAATTCTCTTTTTAGATGACATAAACTCCGTAGAGTAGTAGTCAGTCAGTTAGTGTCTTTTTGACTGTATTTGGATTATTAGACAATGTAAGAAAAGAATCAGTGTGTTTTGTTTACTGGAACGGAATACAATAGATCAATGCCAAAGTGATAAAATTATGATGGTCTTTAATGTGTTCATTATTCAAAAATTAGTGTCAAATTTTTTGACAAGAGTACAACTGTTATAATTATCAGTTTGACATATGGATAATAACTAGAAGTTCATGATTTCAAAGTTATAAGTCATTTTAATAGAATAGTGTCACACCCATGGGGAAATTTTATCGAAGTTTTACCATGTTGGAGCGTGTAGTTGAAACATTAAATGGGTGGTCAGGTGTGAATTTTCTATAATTTCGTGTTTTCCTGAGCAATTCATGCGTTATCATAAGTGGAATATATTTTTTATGCATGACCGCACACCATTTTACGATGTTCAGGAGTGTACACGCCGTTGTATATACTAAAATTTCCCCATGGGCATTAACAGAAGAGACATTACTTTTAAGCAACACTACAGAAATAGGTGTGAATAGACACTTTAGACGGTCTCCACCAGCCCTGTGATCGATCTCTATTTACTCATACGAGAGAAGGTGTCAGATGATAGATCATTCTTTTTGCGGTATTTTAACCTATGATACTGATTTCGAATTTGATATTCATTTCTAAGTATATGTGTAAAATTCACTTTCTGGAACATAAAAAAAAACTGAAAAAAACAAAAAAATAAAACTTTTTAAAGTCAAAATTTTGTCGCATGTCAAATTATTTATGTTCATAGATTTATCTGGATGGATAAAGAAAATATTTTAAAAGAGTGAAAAAAAAATTTTTTTTCTTCTGTTTTTAAGAAATAAGATTCTAGAAATCCGCTGAAGAATAATTTTGATAATGAAAACAATATTAAATTTGATATCAACCTCATCGATTACATATGGTACCGTTAATTGCATGTAAAAAGTGATTTGATACCTAAAAAAATATCTTTCCTAGTTTGTTTATTTCTCCTTCACACATATAATCTTTCAATGGGCAAAAGAGCCATTGTCACTTTGTACAATTACATTTTTCAAGTACTTTGAATCGCGATGAGAACAAGAAAACATTTACTTACTCTCAAAACTTGATTATTTTTTTTTTTTTTATGTTTTAATAAACTCTTTTTGATAGAGACTATATTCTTTATTTCAGTTGTTTAGGTGAACACTATCATTTTCATCATCATCATCATCATCATCATCTCTTCTTTTTTTTTTATAATAATACAATATCTAAAGTAGGAGGTGGATATGACGGGTGTTTTTTTTTTTTTCTCACAAAAGATTTTCTTTCGTTTCTATTTTATCCTATAGAAGAAAAAATCCGGCTATATATTTCTTTTTGTCTTTTATGGAAACAAAAAAAATCTATGAGTGCATGTTCATTTTTTTTAAATAAAAAAAATTTTCTTCTCTATATCTACTATCCATCATGTCATCTTCTTCTATTCTCCACTTTTTTTTTAACGTTCATCAAGAGTTTCTTGCGCTTATAGAAGAAAAGGAACTTTGTCTATCAGTCTAAAAACCGTATTTTATTTTTTTTTTTTCTTGAAACGGATATATGATTATGAAATTGTTTGTCTAATTAGTTTTCTTTCACCCGTTGGTTTAGACACAACGACGATGATGATAAAAACTTTGTGAATAAATCAAATTTTAGGATTATTGTTTCTTCTCACGCATGCAAAATAGATAAAAAAAAAAAGAAAAAAGAAGTTTAAAACTCCTTTAATGTTGTTTTTAACTATATTGTAGCTGGTATGATAATCACGTTCATTTTTTATTTGGCCTCTATAATGTGTTCTACTTTTATACAATGATATCCGACGCAAAATAATAAAGGATGTTCTTATCCAAACTAGATATTTAATTGTGTGTGTGTGTGTGTATACATCTGTATGTGTAGAAAAATGAGAATGAGGAGAAAAGACAAAGTGGAAAGTGTTGGAGATCTATTTATTGATATGTGAAGTCTCGATACATTTATTAAATGTGTCATATGGCAATCAACATAAGCTATGATGACAAAAAAAGAGGTAATATATATCTAGGATCAAACATTTTTTGGAATACAAAAGCGTTATTACTCGTGTTGTTCAAAAATTTTTTATCTACACAACATCTTTAAAGATGTTATATAGATATAAAATAGATAAAGAAAGTCTGTCATAATTTTTATGAAGAACTATCTTGTTACAATTCATTTGTGGTTGACACTTTCCATCAGTAGTCTATGTCAAATTCTCATTTTTTGGGTAGTAGCGAGATTAATTCGAATGCAAGTTAATATTAAAGAAAGTGTACGTCGCGCGAATTCGACGATCTAGACGCTACTCCCGTAACCCTGATCGACACATTTCATAATTGTGCTTTACCTCAATCAACATCAGCATTTCGTTAATACATTATTAACATTTACCTTAGTTTGTGTTACTTATGTTCCTAATTTATCAACCTTGACACTGTTATTTTTCTATCTTAATCAGTGCTGCATACCGGATGCTCACATCGGCTAGTACAGTACATCCAATGGTTTTGAAGCATTATGACACATTTTATCATAATACCACGGACGTTCACATCAACTTTGCTACGGTGACCCGTGAACTTTAGTATCCTTTGTTAGTTCACCCCCTTTTCATTGGTACATATCTTTAAATTTGTTGGTATTTTTGCCCAATGTTTCGCCAATAAAGTTAGAGCGAAACTATTCTATTAGAGAAGTTTCTTTGCATGAAAATCTGTGACATTATACATACACGTCTCTATTTAGATACCGCACGTGTTACTTAAAAGTGTTCGAAGTTTTTCCTCTTACCGAGTGATTAATAATGTGTGGTATTAATAATAAACTATACCCATGTGTAATATGAAGATTTGCCGTAGTGAACGTATTTGATTGCTTGCTTGATAGGAAGTGCTTAGAATCAAGACTACCCTTTTGCCATGCACTTTTACAAGTACTTCTTCATGATTGCAATACTTGGTTGAAGATTGAACATTTGACCAATTAGAAAACTCTGCACAATGAGAAATCAAACTTTCAACGTCACACATATTCAAGGTTAGAAATAGTAATAGTGTCAAATTATGACAACTATTTACATCAAGCCACTTGAATGCGGTGTACAGTTTTCATCGTAATTCGCCGAAGAATCAGTTTCAAATTAAAAAACTATTCTTTCTAAAACCTTTGGTTTTTCATAGGGGCTCTAGCGAACCTTTTGTATCTAACTATGCCATTTTGAAATTTTAAGGTTACCAGTAGAAAGAGCGAGCAAAACTTTGTCTGTGATCAAATTTTGAGTGTAATCGGATGACATTTTGAGGAGATAGCATATTGGACTCTTGAGACATTCACGGGTTCATGATACTTCCGAACCAGTGAACAGCTGTTGGCACTATAACTCGGTTAAAATGGAAAGTGGAATAAGGCATCTTGTAGCCCTTGATGCGCTGGCTCTGTAAAACTGTGCGCTTAAATTGGCTAAACCAGCGTCTGGTTAAGCCTGCAAGGCCAAACTACAGGATCGACTCTATGATACAGGCTCCAGATCATGGACATGTCCAGTGAATGTATCATAAAGAATCTCCAAAATGTGTTCGGCATAGTCTATTCAACTCAGTTTTTTACGCTGAACACACATATGGTCTTAGATTATGACTGTGAGTAACATTTAGTAGAAAAAAAATGAAAACTCGGCAAGAAAAAAGAAAACAATGAAAACAATTTCTCTATTTCAAATATATAAGATTGTAGCTCATGAAAAGCCCTTCAAAATGTATATGCGAAAATTTGTTAACAGAAATCTTCGAATGACAATACTTTAACATTGATCAGGTATTGGTCATGATTTTGCATGATAATCTTGAAGCAGTGAATTGACTCTAGATCCTGTAAAATTAGATGAAAAGGGAATTTCTTATATGCCATTCGACACGCCGCGAGCTGCTCTATAAAACTACATAATTGGTTTCTTAGTTCAAGGGTGTCACCAAATTTGCCAGAGTTCTTATTGATTAAAGCAAAAATAATATAAAAATGTATTTAATAATAACTATAGTGAATGAACTATCTGGAGTAGAAAAAACCCCCACAGTTGTTCCTCTAAAGTCTCAACTGATGTCATTTTCATACCAATCCTCCATCATAAAGTGAAACATTCACGTTGTTATTCGAATTTTTCTGGATCGTCCAGTGCATCATATTAACATTCATATAATGATCTTTTGTAGAAACCTCATTGTTGCTCCTCTTTTTAAGGATGTAAGCTCTAGTTTTTATTATATGAGACCTATTTCTTTCTGCTCGCTTTATATTATATCTGTAACACTTTACTGGTGCGCAAAGAATCTCACAGTAAATATGTCTTGTACTGTGTGCAAAGTGTGAGCCCACTGCGTTTTTCAATCATTTCTTAAATTGGTTTATGATGATTATTCTTTTAAATCATTAATTTGCTGTGTCGAAGACAGTCGGCTAAAGATGTACAAGGTGATCCTATCCCTATTCTGTCCTATCTAAAACTTAATATTCGATAGCATTCGGTCCATTATTGCTTCATTAATTCGTGATTCAGTAAGCGGACATCTGTGGGTGTTTTCCCTGGACATGAAGTTGACTGAATTTTCACAAAAATAGTGGAATATGTGTTTATTGTTTTTGAATAAAATTGTTGCTGGAAAAATAGGCTTCTATCACTGATCGAATCATTTACCTTTTGCTCCTATTTTTTCATGTATAGGCTAGGATTAAGTTACAAAGTGTCTAAAATGAACGGGGTAGAGTACAAAGTATACAAAACTCATAATCTGCACACCTCTAAAGTCGATTTTACTCAGATTATATAATTTTTTGTCTTATTACCGTATTACTATCCTTGTCGAAATACAGTATACTCGGTTGTTTTTTGAATAACTCAGGAATAATAAATGTGATAGAGTCTTGCGGTTCTCACTAGTCGATAGCCAAGACTTTTAGTCATGTTTTTCTAAGAAAAAACATTTTCAAAGTGCGATTTTCTAGGAAATTTTTGAAAAACCAGCTTGGATTTCTACAGAATGATATATTTTTGAGGCCATTATGACGCGATTTTGACGGATGTTACCTATAAAGCGATATACCTGGTATTCACAGTTTCAAATAATTTGGATGAAAGACAACGACGTTATAAATTTTTTAATTTTACATGGTAATTGACGAAAAACCCGGTTTTTAAAAAACTCATCATCCAGAGCTATTCCACGTTCAGCAACAAACAAACATTGCCACAAGATTCACAAGCATGGATTATCTATGTACTACATATTTTTGAGATTTACTAGACCAAAGAAAAATCTGATCTTGATGATCTTGGGAAAAATATCTGGAAGCTCGTCAGATCTGATAATCAGAAAGCACTGAAAATGATAGGGTTGCGATCGTAAGATTAACTTTTGATCCGTTTAACGGAATTAATAAGGATATAAACGGAATGTGGCCAGAAGCGCTGAATTAAATTCGATCTAGATAAAAGTACCGTTTCAGATTTCGCTGATGATTTCTTCATTATCATAAAGTATCTTAAATTCTTTCATCAAAGTAAACAACTTTATTTCAAAGAGTGAAAGAAGGGTATTATCAAATTCTAAAGTTAATTTTTAGCCTCCTGTTAAATTACGATATATTTCTCAGGATCACTTAACGGATGTCATGATAGAAGAGTGTTATTCAATTTCACTTGGTATAGCATAAGTTTCATGTTCATGTTTGATAACAAAGAATCCTAAATCAACAATTTAGAAAAAAATTTGCTTCCTTTTTCGATAGCATTCTTATTGCGAAAAAACTATAATTTCTCATTTTTCTAGAAAAACATATTAAAGTACGAAGGTAGCAAATCGCAACAAATAAATAAAAAATCATTTTCATCATCGCAAAAATTTTGACTAATACAGTTCATTAATTATTTAAAAATTTTTATTGACATTTTGTTATGATCTTAATTAAATCAGATTGTTTAAAACACTACGGATTCCTTGAACGATGTTTTTTTAATTAGAATCTTGTACAAGCAAGATTTATAAAGGACTACATACATTTCTTATTCTTATCTTCTTAAAATATAACATTCTGATGAATTTAGGAGCGAAAGAAAATAATGATAAAAAAAGAGTAGAAATAAATATCAAATAAAATGATAAAATAACTATTCTAATATATTCTAATGTATACAGATGTTTCAAATAGAATATAAAATATAATTTCAAACTTTTCATAGGAATATATTATCAAATTAATGAAAAAGACTTTTGCCAGTTGTGACCATTAATAAATAAAAAGAATTATCTACTAGAATTGTCATTTACCTTGTATTCTATTATTGAGTTGAAAGTATGAACTATAATTAATGCGCTCTGTTCAATATGGAAAAGGAACTCTACTGTTGTTTTAAAGAAATAAGAGTATATTTTAAGAAAAACAATATAGTACAAAATATGCAGAAAGAGAATTAATGAAACAAATTAGTCATTAGACAGATGTATTCTTAACTATTAATTATACTTTCTTGTAATAATGGTGTTCTTTCATTTGTTTGATTTGGATTGATGGAGTCGAAATATCTTTTGCAACAGGCAAAGAAACCCATACAAATAAAAATTACTGATATACCACCAGTAATATACCAAACAAAAAGTTTTACATGTGTACATTTAGCAACAAAACATCGTGAACATTTTGGATCAGATTGTTCGTACGGCGTACATAATGTATAATCCCAAGCAAATCTTATCGACGGTAAACGTACGACAGTTATGCCAGCATGATAAACTGTGACATTGATAAAACGTACAATTTTTGATAAATCAGTATAATATATTAATTTAAATGTAAATGGATATTTACAATGTAAAACATTTAAATTATAATCGACATACATATCATCTACGTAGCAAGATGAAGTTGTTATACAAGCACTACAGTCAGATAAATTTTCTCCTTCATCGGGAAATAATATTAAACAAAATCCAATAATGATCACCAATTTTAAAAGCATCAGAATAATGAATTAATATAATAACTATTTTGTTTTCTTTAAAAACATTTATATCTTTTTATTATCATCAGGTGAGTGTTTGAAAACATGTTGTTTTTTTTACGTTTCATCTTATCATATATAATGCATAATGCACGAGAATTGTAGTAAAATAAAATTATATAAGCTAAAATTAATATTTAAATAAATGTTCTTCATTATAACACAATTCAAAATCATATTTCTTTATATGTTTAAGTAAATTTTGTGATGGCATATTTTCGGTATCAAGATCTTTTTCATACCATGGGAAAACATTAGAACTTTTATCGAAATAATTCAATGCTGCTTGAAGATAGTCAAATTCATTATTCAACGGATATGTATTACAATTTATACATAAACAGTGTTCGTCCGTTATTGAACAATACAAATCTTTTCTTCTTGCCAATGGGATAGTTTCGAATAGCGAACTATTTACCATCAAACTTTTTTCAGCTTCTGTTTCATAAGAACTATATGTTTTCATCTGACTCATGCCACTAGTAGGAACTTCTTGAGACGATATCATTTCATTTATGGGACTTCTCAAAGAGAGAGGGAATCATTTTCAGCCTCTCATAGATTTAAATGAATATTACACACTACCTGTTCATATTTAATTTTTGTCCCATGTCTGATAATACCTGCGCTCCATCTGTAACATTTCTGTCTTGGAAATGGTTCTTGTTCGTTGATTTGTTGTGTCTTTCGTCTGAAGTAGCTTTTTTACTTAAATGAACATTAATTGGATGAAAAATCTCAGTTTGCTTTGACGAATTGTTATTTGTGATTAATTTAAACCTATGTTTATTTAAACATTTTTTTTCAGTTAATTTATATATTCCATACGTAGCAATTACCAATAAAAGACATCCACCAATGGCAAACAATGCAATTTCAAATGACATGATTTACGTTCAAATAGTTTGCCATAATTCTTCTTCATTTTTAAATCACTCTTTTCCATACAGAACTATTTATTATTACAGTCAATCTCATATTAGTAAATATGATAATAACGTAATTGAAAGAGTGATAATTGAACAATTTTCAACAATTTTCCCGCGATGATACTAATGGTTTACTTAATAATTTTAAAATCGAAACAATTCTTACGTTGAATAGTTAATTTAAAATGATTATATTGTGAAATATCGAGAGTTGCTGTTCCATATATTAAAGTGTTTTATTTATATGTGTCAGCTTATTTTTATTTTATTCATTTTTGTTCAATAATAGATAAGATGAAAAAAGAAAAATAACATCACTTATGATACAGAGTAAAATAGAAGTTATGCAGTTTCAGTCGATTGTCGCAATATTTTATAATAACAACAAATAATAACCACACCATGTCGTCAAGGACTGTTCGATTCGATAGATTTTTCAGATAGATACAGGAACATACATAGTTAGCATACAAAAGCGGACAAAAACCTGAAGAAAACAACTAGAAAAATGTATTTTATCTTGAAACAACGATTTCTACCCGGAAAACAAATGCAACACAAAAAGGGTGGGATACCAATAAAAAAAAAGTGAGAGTAACGTGTACTTATTAGTCTAGCGAGCGGTATGCGACTTATTGTACATAAGAATAAGAGGTTATTAAATGAATATTTTCACAGAAAATAATAGAGCGAAGAGATATAATAAGACACATATATAATCATATTTACAATAAAATACATACACGCACTTACGAGTATTTGTCGATGCGTGAACACCCATTGTCGGCGAGACATGCCACGCTCTGAAACGAGCATGACAAACACATCAGTAGCTTTAGATATACAATGTTCTTTTTTGCAATATACTGTAAACACACAATACATGTACACAAGAGACAAAAATGTCAGACTAAACTAACAGAAATCAGAACAAGAACAGAAGAAATATCTAAATCATTGTATTGATTTTCAATTGACTGTTAATTCAAAAAAGAAAGAAAATTGAAACGCTTATAGAAAAACATACATGTAGAGATTGATTAATATTAAAATGATTCTACATAGTGATTTTTATTGTTTCTGATGATGTGATGGTGGTGGTTGTTGAACGTTTTCTAAAGCGTTTAAACTTGGATTTGGGAATAAACTTCGCAATACAGTATCATCCATCATTGATGAATTCGAAAAGTTGGCAAAACCAAAATTCTAAAAGTAAACAAAGACAATGTACATTACTATCTAGAAAAACGACGGTCTACCATTAGTTTCATTTCGCAAACGAAAGATATTCAAACATGTGAAATATTAACTACGTGTATATGTTAAAACATTTTAACTCACATGAATATTCCATGTAGGTGCTAGTAAGAAATTCGGTGGTATTCCTCCGTCGCCGCCAGCGGCTAAAATTGCTTGTAAATAATCTAAATTCGTTCCACTTGTATGAGAAGAATTTTTTGATAAATAAACATCTTGTTCATATGGACTTGATGAAGATGATGATGAATGATTACCATTTATATGTGGTGGATGACGTTGGTGAGTAGATGAAGTAACAGTTAAACTCGATGAACTTATTCGTCTTTCTCTAGACGGTGTCAATGACGTATTGTCTGCTGTTGGAGGTGCTATTACAGAACTGGATGATGAACGTGCAGGAGACTGATGTTTATTCATAACTTTATTCAGTTGTAACAAACTAGCAGCAGCTGCATTTATTTTGTGTTGTTGATCAGAAGTATGATGAGCTTTTGCTGATTTTTTATTATTTAACATGACATTTTGACGAAGTTGATTTTCAAGAATAGAATGTGTTTGTTGAGATGGTTTTCTCATAGTAGTATAAGATGTTGGTGCACATGGAGAATGATTTTGACTATGACGTGATACTTGTGGAGTTGACCGAGACAAATCAACAATATTACTAGTATTTTGAGATGTATGACGTGGAGGAGTAGATGAAACAGTTGGTACAATGGTTTGTTGTAATATCTGCTGTTGTAAAGCATGATCTGAATTTAGTCGTTTATCTTGTTCTTTTGGTGAAACAAATTCAAGTTTTGGACGTTTAAGAGATATTATTGGTTCAGTGGTAGTGGAAACAATCGGAACTTTATCTCCTGCTTCTTGTGCTTGAGGAGGATTAAAGATTTCAACTAAACGTCGTTTTAGATTTGAATGCCGTAAACGCAATAGATCACGTCGAGCTTTTAGTTCGTCTACTTTCTGATTTAATGATGCGTTTTCCGAACGAAATTGATATAAACATGATAATAACGACGATACATCGTAGGGAATTGTTTGCTGTAAAACAAAATCACTCGACATTTCCCATTCGTGTTCAAGAAATTCTTCTAGACTCTGAGGTATGAATGATGAATTTGATGATTGAGATGGTTTTTGTGTGTTTATGTGAGATGTTGCTGTTGGCAGAACGAAATCGTGTAATGGGCGTTTTGGAAAGAATTTTGGCACAGGATGATTGGGCGAAATTTGTTTTTTATTCGTCATTATCGGTCCATTTGACGTTTCCGTTGACGAAGAGCAATGAAAATTTTTGTTCAACCCTTGTAGAAGAGAAAAGCAAATATAAAATTATCTTCATATTATAGAAAGAAAAACAAGAAAATCGACTCCTATTTTGTTCAAATTTGAGCATAAAATCGTTAATGGTTCTGAGGCTACATATCATCAGTGAAAAAATAATTGAAACGCTGAATGGAACGCCTGATACATAAAAAAAGACGCATACCAAGAATAGAATCGGTGAATGGCGGTGAATGTTCACTGTGTTCTCGCTGTTCGTTTTCAGTTATACTATCTGCATTAATATGATTTCCAAAATGATCACATTGATAATAAATCGATGATCTATTTGGATCATGGTAATTTTCCATTGTTTTATTATCATTCATTGTGATTACATTATTATTTATTTTCTGATGTTTCATATTATGATGATTATTCATATTCAGTTTAGTTCGTTTTTCTTTACTACCACGCCGTAGTACATCACCGTTGAGCAGTGGAGGATGCTGCTGTTGTTTATTCACAGATATTGTTGAGTACTTTCGTTTAGATTTTCGATTATTTTTAGTAATATCTGAACTTATTGATAACTGACGTTTTTGTCTTGGTTGCTGCTGCATTTTAGAATTATCCTCTTTTGAACAACAACGGCTGTTTTTTCGTCGTTTTTGCATATCTTCTTCTTCAATCATTTCAACTCTGAAACAAAACAATAAACATCTTTCACGATTATAACTCTGTATCACATATAATAATAATAACTTACTTTACTTGTGGAAGCGATGCACCAGAATATTTTTTTGATGCTGCTGTTATTCGAGTCACTGGTGTTGTGCCATCATTTAATTGGCGATGTTTTTGGACATCGATTTTTTTCGTATTATCCATTCGTCGTACCGCTAGTGGTTTTTCTTCTTTCTCATTCAGCTCTTTTTCTTGCACAGTCAAATTTTCATTCAACTTTTTTGATTGTTGTTCTACCATATTTTCGCTATCTTTGTCTAATACATCTTCATTAATTAAGAGTTCTCCACTAGAATGACAGATGAAACATCCATAGAACTCGAGATACACTTCGATTTCGCTAGTCAATTACTTGAAATAAAATAATAAAAGATAACAAATTCCTCTAGGACAAATTTATAGCTGACACAGTTAGCATGATATCTTCAATAAAATGAACAAACCTTCTATCACTTGAATCCAAATCATCATCAATTTTTTTCGATGATAATGGCGGTGGTGGTTGCGGTGAAAGAAACTGAGAGTTTCGTTCTTGTTTTGTCAATTGTACAAATTGCGACAAATCCGTTAATGATCGAACCTGACTATTTTTTTTCTTTTTTGATGAAGTACTCGATGAACTTGAGGAAGAATGAGGTCGTCGCTTATAGTTAGGTGACTTGGTGGATTGATCGGCTGGCGAACATGAAGATGACGAACTTGTGGAGGCTTTGCGAATGCGATTCGAATGATCATCGTGATTTCCACGACATGTCGATTGATCACTATTATAAACTGAACAATCGTAAGTTGACTCCGTTGCACACGTTGTATCTGAGTCTTTTCTCGATGCAGCAACAAAATCAGCCAGACTTGGTGCTGTTGGCAATATTAATGATGTCGGAGATTGTGCTGCAAATAACGTTTGTTCCTTGTATACATTTTCAGATTCTTCCGAGTCCTTCGGTGTTAGCGACGGTGCTGCCGATAGTAAGTGAATGCTGTTATTTTTTGTTGTTTTTGTAAATAATTTCTAGAAAAATAATGAGGTAACAAGTGTGAATAATAATTTCCAGTGCGTACTTTTTTATTTGCACAGATAGATGTTGAAAATTGTTTATTATATCGGCCATTTTCGGGTGATGATTGATCATGTTTAAACGGTGGAATTTGACGAATAGTTTTCTAAACAGAAGTATGTGAGGAATAATTGAAAGTAAAAGACATGTTGCGAGCTTTGAACTTATCAGAAATATGCACAGATTGACAAAGCCATATTTCTCTGTGAGTGACTGATTTTGGAAATTCTAACTTAGTCATTTGAAATTTTAATCAGCAACAAAAAGAAACTCAATTCTCTTTTTAAAAATATGCTGATTTTCCGATTGTATATCTTACCGATTTTATCATGGTGGGAAGATGTAATTCGCAGTAACCACAGTATTTGACATTATCTCTTGGTTTTTGTCCATGAACTTCGCATAATAAACCAGCTGTTTGTGCACTAAACAAGAACCATGCTTAAACTATTTTTTCTTTCTTTCAAAACAAACAAGCATACCATGAAACATGAAATGAAGTTTTACATCCTTTACTACTACATGTCATGCATGCACCAATGCTTTCTTTCAGTGTGCCATTTTTCTCACATATATAACATGTCTAAATAGATATTGTTTAAGAATATGCATCTTACGCTCGTAAATGTTTTTGTCTTACCAATTTATAGCGTTCAACAGGCATTTTTGTCAATATAATCGGTTCCATAGTCTCCACATTCTCAAATTCAACTTCTGGTATATATAGCGCGCAAACAACATGCGCCCAACCTTGAAAGAAAACGAACGATACTCTCTAGTTCAGCAGGACAGATTCGTCTTTCTTCAGATCCTACCTCCAGTGTTTGTTTTTTTCATCGCGCCTTGTTTAGAAGGGCATAACTGGCAAGACTAGAAAAAAAGCAGCGAGTCAAGTATAAGTGTCCTTTCGCTTATTGAAAGAGATTGTTGTACTGACTGCTCGAAAGTCTTTCAGTTCACATCGACCACAAAACCACGAATCTTCTGGAACACTAACAATTCCATAACAAGCTAAACAACAAGAAAAATAATGCATAAGAGATACCATCCAAATATAAAAATAGATATACAAACCTTGGTGAACGGCTACTGTACAAAATTTTTCGTCAAATTTTCCATCACAATAAACAAGAGGATTTTCTGCCCAGCCCTGATCATCGGAACATACACAGCACCCGCCAACTAAACTAACGTCGCCTTTCATAATTAACAAATCATAAAGTCATTTTTGAGTCTTTAACAAATCAATGTAATGATAATAAGTAGAATGTTAACTTTTGCTCGAAGTGCGCTACCGATTCATTATCAGTGAGTAAATGAAAGTTAAAAGTATGTTGTCTCCTGTTATCTAAAATATCAACAAATAATACTGTTTTAGTTTCTGGTAACTGACAAGCCTATGTTTTTGTCTCCAAACTATTAGTATTAATCTTAACTAACAGCTATTAACTATTTAGAGAGGACTGCTTTATAAAAACCGAGCAGAATACTGAGAGGCGAACTGTTCGCTCAGTAAAGCATATTTTATGGAGACTTTTAAGGACCGATATAGCAGTTACAATCAGCTATCCCCATTCTGAGTCATTTGAGCAGCGTAATTTTAGAAAAAGATCTTAAAGAATAAAAATAAACCTTGAATTACATTTTCATATGTTATAGACGCAAAAAACAAAAATATTTTACATTCTATCTTTTTTCGAACGTATGTTTTCAGCATTAACCGCAGCCATATTCGGTTGTCCTTGCAGAGTTTATTTAAACTCTACGAAGGTCGCCTGTAGAATAAAACATTAGAAAAATCAAACAGAAAGAATACAAAACATTTAACAATGATTTCTAAAGTTAAAAAAAAGTAGAAGTGTCATTTCAGGTCAATTTGATAGATATTCTTCCTAATATCACAATGCCACTATGGTAAAATATGGATCATACGGTGACCCATTTCTAATTAATACCTGGTAACGTTCATTTACAATCTGCTCGGTCCCCTGCTTAACCTGCGTTAAACTACTCATGACTACATCAATCTGTTACCCAACATTTTTCTTTTACAATTACGAACCATGCCTGCGCCTCCGGTCCGTCGCCACCCGCAACACAAAGTTGATGACCATCACTTATCACGCTAGAAGAATATTAAGTACATATCTATCGATTACTCTTATTTCCATTGAATCTGACCACCCCGAACCTTTATTGGATCCAGTAGCGCGACAGTTTTCTGAAGACCTCCGAACGATTCTCAACCAGGGTGCCCAAATTCACTTTTTAGAAATCCGGATTTTTCCGTAAAACATTAGAAGTTAGTCAGATTTTTTTCGAATTCAAAATGGTATATTACAAACAACACAATACTTTTCTTTGATCATGTTCAACAATGAAGAATGTGTTGCATTAGATAACCATTCTTCTTTAAATTTTGATCCATAACCTTTAGTTGTTCTGGTATCCGACAATGAAGCGGTTCTTGACGTTCGGAATATTTTTTGATGGAACAGTATTATCATTCGTTACAGAGTGCAGTAAGGATTAAGGAAGAAGATTTTGATCCGATGGGTTTGAAAGTTCACTAATCTCGTCTTTTTGTGATCAGAACATTCGCTAAGCACACAGGAAGCTCTTTCAATGTACAATTATTTAGACTTTTGATCCGGAAATTCTGTTTCTGAAACTGATAATCTCAGTCTTGGGAAAAACAAGTCGTGGCAACTCTGAGCTGCATCCATTAAGGATTGCTACAGTTCTCTTTTTCTTCTCAACTTTTTATTGGTCCAAAATGTCGCTAAAATCGATGCAAGACAACAATTGAAAATCAGGAGATTTGGCAACCTTGTTCCCAGGTGTCTTACTGTTCCTGGTCGGAAGACAATACACCACAACTTTCATTCGTCGTTTCACACGCGGAGCTACTTAGGAATGGATGGAACTCCAAAACTTTTGTGCAAACACCCACCGTAGTAGGACCACTGCTCATAGGCGCTTAACTGTTTCGCTGCAATTTCTTACGTGATTAGTGGGCTTTAGCACTTTTCACTTATTTGAACGAATTTTGCTTTTTAGGGGGCATCACACCGTATCTTGACGCCCTCTATTGCATGAACTTTTCTCATTTAATTTTAAATTAATCATGTTGTGCATAATGTCTGACTTTGACTTAGTTGTCTTCCGTCTATATATCTTCGAAATGTTTAAAATGAAATCAGCATTTACTTCTTCTCTCTTATGATTGGTTTATCTAGGGAATCTGACAGCCGTTTTAGCTTGTTTTGCAGTCACACACACAACACTTTTTGTTTGTAAGACAGTTGACTAAAGTGAATGACAGACAAGCAAATACAGGAGCGTCTATCCTGTGGGACGTTTCAGACACAATGCCTCAAACAAAAGTAGCTGGGACGCTTTTTGCTGTAAAGAAAATCATTTTCTAGATTGTACACTGAAGGATCAAACTTCTGAGGTGGTACAAAAGCCCTCAAATGCTTAGGTTGGGATAGACGCCGCTGAGGAAATATCTATCATTCAATTTTTCCATAATAATACATTATACTGTCACACGAAAAAACGATGGAAAAGTTCTAATGGCTGGTAATCCATCTGAGAAGAAAGTGATCTTTCACTTTTCAAGTACGATTTTTACTGTAAAAATGGAGACGACCACGTTCTTTTTTCAAATTTTCAATTTGTGTTTTTTACGTGCAACCGTCTCGCTATGATGATAGTTTTTCATCGATACATACCATTCGAAAGACGTACAGCTCTGTCTCAAGGATATTTCGTTCCAAACTTATTGAGTTTACTTTCAACATCATATGATTAACGAATAGTAAAAGAATATGAAAAATTTTCTAGTAGTGCGTGAGGTTTTTTATTCATACGCATTATGGGAAAAAAATTTCGAATAAAAAAATATTAGTTGTTAACAGTTAAAACTCATCTGTTTGTAAAACGTCTCCTAGCACTTTTTCCTGTTTGATTCGTATGTTCTCCTGGTAAATCTAAAAAATAATAAGCTATCAAATTTAGTTTTTTATTGTTTTAGTTTTAGATAATTACTTTTCAACTTATTTGGAAATTATAGTGAGCTGTGAAGATCTACATGAAAAGAAGGAGGAAGAAACGATGATTTAATTTAAAATTAGAAACTAATGGGAATATTCCATAGTTTTTCATCTGTGTTTTACGGTGCAGGAGAACGTCAACGAATCACTGACAATGTTTTACTTGTATCACCATCACAGAAGAAAGGAAAACGGTATTTAAGAACAAACAGTCATCAATTATCAAACAATTTTTTCCTTGGAGGAAAACAATTTAAATTTAATTTACGTCCTTATACGTGTTTATTTAACGATGATTGTTTAATTAATCAATCTCATCCAATTGAATTTCAGCTCTCAAAACCTTCGCGTACTATAGAACCTATACAAGCAATAAAATGTCAGTTAGCTATCCGTCGTGATACATTAAAATTAATTCATTTATATGATGATTGGTATACTATCGAATTTTTGTTCGATTGTGAAACACCAGTCCAGATTTATATCTATTTTTTTTCTCATGAATCATTGAATCAGGGACTCAAATACACATGTTGTACAAAAACATCAGATATATTTAAACAGTATTATTCATTTACATTTAATAGAGGTTATCAGCAATTATTTTCGAAAAAAAATGTACGATTTACAATATCAGTTATGAAAAAAAGTTTTTGTTCAACGCCCACAATACCGATCGTCATTATTTGCCGCTCAATGGATTATGATATGTCAAATATCATGTAAATATTAACTGTCTTTATAATTTAATAGCTTTTCCTTCGCAACAAAAAGTCACATGATTATTAGATTGTATGTTTTTGCTAGAAATGTTCCAAATAGGTTGAACGATCACTATACAGTGAATCTTTATTATTTATCATTGACTTTTTGCTCATGACATTTTAGACATTCACCAACGACAGATTTATCATCAAATCATTCAAATGACTCAACATCATTTGACCAACAATATCATATTGTTTCAGCTACCGTTAAATTTTTAAACGATGATAATAAAACACCAAGATCATCAGCAGTTTTAACTGTTTTACAACAAAAGCATGTTGTCAACGGTATTTTATTTGAATTATATGAAATTTATGGTGTTGAAAATACCCGATCATCATCAGATAAAAAGATAAAATTACTCGATACTGTGGAAAGAAGAAAATCTCTATCAAGAAAACAAAATGATTATAAAGGAGATGATCTATGTATTAAACAATTGGATGGCAATGAATTACAGCATCATGTTTCCGGTACTAATGAAAATCATGATCGTATTACTACTACCGCCTCTTCGAGTAACAAAAGAAAATTATCTCGTACACAAATTTCAAATACGTAAGTATCCTTTTTTTATCTTTAGAAGAATGCAAATTTTTTCTGGCACATATCTCACATCATTGTACTTTGTTAAAACCTTCTTTCACAAAAAAAAGTAAAAGTTGGATGATGGTTTTTTACTGTAAACAGATACCACCGAATGGCTTCGTTCATTTCCAACTCTCGCTGGTTCCTTACTTTCTAATCTATTTGGTTTTTATGTATTTATAGTGCCCATAATGAAATCGATGTATTGAACGATAATGTCAAACATAATTATAAAATTAAAGAATTTTCATCTCTACGTCAATCACCATCTTCATCAATTGCATCATCTTGTCTGGATTTATCAAAATCAACAAAATATGCATGTGTCATATGTTTATGTGAATTTCGAAATACACTAATATTACCGTGTAAACATTTGGCCATTTGTAATGTATGTGGAGAAAATTTAAGATTTCAATCAAATTCTTGTCCTATTTGTCGATTACCGTTTCGTGCATTATTACAATTGAATACATTAAAAGCAAAAAGAAGTATATTAAAACAACAAACTCATATGTATGAGAGTACATCCATTGTAAATGCATTGAATTTATCATCATGTTCTCGTGTAATGCACAAAAATGACAATGAATCATCATCAAATAATTTTTTAATAAAAAATAAAATTGGAAATTTTTGTCATGGCTCAATACGTTGGGAATCAATGGTTGATGAACCAGATTTAGTTCATTTAAATCATACAGATTTAAAACAATTTTGTCAAATACAAAGGTCATTTGAAGAAATAAATGAAACTGTGTAATAGAATTCTGTATACTAAAAATAGCCAATATGACACAACAGTATTTTCTGTGATAAAATCAGCTTTGAAATTTTTGACTATTTCTATTGGCTAGTAACAGACTAGATAGCAACTCTGTTATAGAGCTCTGTAAAAAGATGTGTTTTTGTCGAAGCCTGTTCTTTTTTTTTTTTTGTGTAAAAATGATAAAGTTTTCTTATACAGTTTAATTTTCGATTGTTTATAAAAAAAATTCTTAGATACTTTTTATTTATTTTGTTTGTTTTTATTTTTATTAAAATGATCTAACAAACTATTTGTTTTGTTAAATTCATTTTTTATTTTGTATTTATCTTTTAACTCTTTCGCTGAAAATGATATTGTGTTATGCAATAAGACGTTTTTTTCTGCCATTGTATTTGTCATCATACAGCATTGCGATATTCAAATTTTTCAAAGTGATTATTGAACATGGGCATGCCTTTATTCTAAACATTTGAAATACTATAAAAAATTGCTGTTTGTACACGAACTACTAGAATTTTATTATGTCTTTAGACTAATATTTGAAAAAAGTAATTTGAATTTATTTAGCAAGATGTTTGATGCATACAATATCGCATATTTATATTTTTCAAGTGTTCTGTTTTAAATAAACAGATATGCTAATCAACCGTGAGTTTATGTATTTTCTTTTATTTCTGTATAAATGTATTTTACTGTGACTGAGTGAGTATACATACGATATTGTTCCAAAAATTTTTTTTTTTCGGGGGGGGGGGGGGGTAAATAACGTATATTTTTTTTTTTTTAAAAAGGTTAAGTGTAACTGTTGTT